TGCAGTGAGAGTGGCTGGCAAGCCACTGCTGAGGAAGCGCGCCCGTCCGCCCGCGCACACTCGGTGCCCCACAGCTACGCCCCACTGGCGCTCCGAAAGCGATGCAATCTGCGGCTCCATTTATCGTCTCACACCGCCCTACGCCGGCGCCGATCACGTGCGAACAGCGGCTTTAGGAAAGTGGATGCGGCGTTGTCCCAGTTGCCTTAGCAGCTCCCGTCCGCGCAGTACAGCCGAATAACACAAAGCCATCAGGGCAGGGAACAGGCGGCGCGGCGCAGTACGCTGGGCGAAAAATGCGACAGCCTCGTGCAGCACCAGAAGTAGTAACTGGTCAACACATCTCAAGAAATGAATTCAGTTTCGAAGTAATGCCAGATGCGCCACTGCCCAGACACATAATGGAATATGGGTCCTCAAAATTCAGCCCAAGTCCAGTTTTTCACACACCCGACAAGCAGGGCAGGCTTGCTGTGCGCCAGGAGTGGCAGTGTTCCGAAAGAGCTGTTGCACGCTTGGCACTGCTATCTCGAAAGAGCCAAAACCTTGCCAAAATGCTTTATGTCGGGAGAGCTGTAAAGTCGGCAGTTCCTATGGAAGAAGAAACGAATCGCCAAATCAGATCGACCACCAGAGGAGGACTCAAAACAGTTCGAAAACTAGACAAAAGTTTACGAATTACTGCCTGTTCAACTAATATTCGAAAATGTACGATGGCGAGAGCACCAAATAATGGAATAAATAGCGGCACGCACCAGAGTGGCCAGTGTTTTGCGCAGTTCTTTCCAGCGGACGTTTGCCTGCTAAGAATTTTCACTGCAAAATGTTGTTTGGTTCCCAAGTTGCGGAACTTCTCACTAAAAATTTCACGTGGCGGTACGTGAAAGCTGAATTTGAAACTTTGGAAGGGCAACATCTCCCAGATTTCAACCTCCCAGTTCTCCGGCTTCCGAGCCAGTGAAACTCGCATCAAGACATTTACCTGGTCGTACGTACCATCTCAACATAATTGCGGGCTAAATTTAAGTTTTTGAGGCATCTGCGCAGGCAAACAAACATCCTCCCGAAATTTCAGCTTCACAGTTCTCCTGGTTCCTGAAATTTTTTCCATAAAACTTTCGCGGGGCTGCACAAGAGATCCAGGCGAGCAAAAAGGCTCAATTTGATTCTACAAAGTCGCATACTCCCCAAAACTTCAGCTTCCTATCTTTTACGGCTTCTGAGGCAGTAATTTTTCCCATTGAAGCTTTCACGGGGGCGCAACTGATACTCAGGCTTGACTGAAAACTGATTTTGAATTTACACGGACACACGTGGGCATGCAACATTCGCGTTAAATTTCAGATTTCTAACTTCCGTAGTTCCCTGAATAATAATTCCCCGCCAAAACTTCCACGGCGCTATACGTGATGCCCAAGCGCACGAGAGCCTTAAATTTAAATTTTTTGTGGGTCGCACGTCAACAGGGAACTCCTATATCAGCATTTTAGATTCCGCGGTCCCCGGAACAATAATCCCCCCGCCAAAACTTCCACGGGACCCCACGTGTTACTCGCGGGTAAGGGGAAGCTGAATTTAAATTCGCGGAGTCGCACGTTGGCAGGAAACAATTGCGTAAAATTTCAATCGCCTAGCTTTTGTGGTTCTCGAGTTGAAAATGCGAGACAAAACGCTCTCGGACGCATAACACACAAAGATAACTCCGTAACAATGTGTGTTTTGTGCTGCTGCTACGTAGCGCAAAACGCATGACAAGGGTGCATTTGGACCTCAACACCGCAAAGACAAACAACCACCACTTCCGGAATCTCTGAGCGTCATGCACTCAACTCCATATGGACGACGTGTGAGCTTCCGAACGGTCAACCACAGTTGCGCTCGAGCAATACATGCCGCAGAAACACATCAACCATTCTTTTCTACGAGTATCACCAGACTGTCCAGAGGAGCAAACAAAGTCCGCAACTTTAAACTCGGGACCCACAGAAGTCAGGAAACTGAAAATTTAGGGTGATGTTCCCTGCCCAGAGTTTGACACCGCAAGTTTAACTTCAGCCTTCCCCTACCTCTGGGTACCATGTAGGACTCCGCGAAAGTTTTAATGATGAAAATTATTATCTCAGAAACTATGAAAGCCAGACCCAGGCTGGGACGCACCAGGCTCTCCGGTGCGATCGTGCGTTTTTGCACTAAACTCGCAGATCGCTACTAGCAAGATTGACCCCTACGCTGCAGCCTAACATTTGGGCTCATATTGGCCGTGCTTTGGCTCCTGGCATGCAAGAGAAAGGGCGTCAATTGGAATGAAGGTGGTGCATTATAGAGCCGCACGGACATCCAGGTGCATGATTACCGGTTTTTTACATGAAGTCCGGTCGTTTTTTTTGGCAAATGCTCGCTTTGTGAAAAAATGACAAGTGTAAATTTTTTTGAAAAAATGCAAATTTCCAGTTCAATAAAGGTGGAAGTATTGCTTGAACGGTCGTTT